TCGGCGCCTTTGAAAAAAAGTGATGAACTCGATTTTACTCTGCTTTCGTTCAGAGTAAAATTTCCAATGATAAAGGATTAACAGCAGATAAGCGCATTAAATTCTGCAGCGAAAATGGAAAATTTTAGCATGTTACACGATCACTTTTCAGCATGTTGGTCCAATATCGAAAAAAGTGATGGTAAAAAGTGATCGTGTAACCCGGCCTTTATACAGCAATACACTCTCTCACTGGCTCCGTGTTCTCTGCACGTTAAATAAGATATCGAAGCAAACATCAACGATGGAAAGTCATAGGATATGATAGGAACCATTGCAATTCTTGCTAAATAATAGCGTTCCTATACTTTCACTTTGACTCTTTGCTTGCTATTAGACGGGTAGTATTGTATAAGTAAAAGAGAATTTCTATGTACACCATAGGCATGTAGTTTTGCTAAAAGTAGGATTTTTTGGTAGACAGTCAAAGGCTTTTGACAAATCCATAAGGACAGCGCCAATATGTTTGTTCCTTTCCAGTTCTGTTTTCCAGTCTTCAATAAGTCTAAAGAGTGTGCTGGAGAGAAAACGGTTTTCTATATGCGCATAGGAATTTCAAAAATTTTTCTTCAAGAAATGGAGACAGTTGTAGCTCTATTGCTTTTTCAAATACCTTTGAAAATGTCGTTAGTAGACTTATTGGTCGATAATTTTCCTTATTGAAAGAATCTTTTTCTTATAGACAGGTGAGAATATAACCTTTGTTTGAAAAGTTTGAAAAAGTTTCTTGAATAATGAATGCATTTATTTATGATGTTCAGGAGGGGTTGTAGGATGATATCAACTGAGACAGGGGCGGATCGAGACATTCTCAACATTCTCAATTTAGAATGTCAGATTTTCCCAGTTTGATTATTCTAAATAAAATGCTAAAAGTAATGAATGAGCTCAGATTTAAGATTCAAGATAAGCATACATCTTTCTATTATGTATTTTAGGTATTTATTTCTACATAATCGTCGTATTTGCTATATTTTACTCCGTTTTGCCTTTGCGAAACATTTTTATATCTTCTCCGATGAAAAACCAAATTCTCCTTCATTGAACCTAGTACCCAGGAGAGTAGTAAGAGGCTGCGCCGCGTCCTGTATCTAGGCATGATTTTTAGAAAGTTTATCGACTGTTGCCATGCATTTTGAGAAGTTCCTTCGCATTTTTAGAAAGTTGCACGCAGTTTCTGCATGCGCACGCAGAGAATTTCAATTCATTTTTGTCACTTAGAAGAGGTCGACCTGAAAGATTTTAACGAGAGGAAAATTCGCCAGAATGACGTATTAAACCCATTCACTTTTAATAGGGTATATCTGGCATATGTTTAACATATATTTTATGAGGTCTTGCCTACGTCGCAGTTTGAGAATCTTGAGAAGTTAGTGGGCTGGTCCACAAAGTAGCCAAATTTGACAGGGAACACCAACTTCACGTGATCAAGAATCCACACTCCACTCCAGACTACAGTGGCTGTGGCAGTGGCAGTGCTTGGTAATGATATGTGTTTGTGCTTGATTAGAGAATAATTTCACAAGAACCCATTGCAAGTATGGATGTATTGGAAGAATTGAAACAGTTATTGACCGATTGTGCTTTGGATACCATCGAGGAGTATTTTTTTTCGCTGACTAGGGAATGGTTACTTACAAGTCTGCCGGGAGGGCAGGCGCCAGAACCAGATCGTAACACACAACCTTCGACATTTATTGTGGCAAAATAATTCTTTCATTTTGATGGCTGAACCTTGTTGAACGAGAGAGGGTCAGACTTTGAGGTACTGCTGATAAATTTTATATAGGGGTTCATTTTGTGCTGCTGCTACTGGGCCTAGAGGCTCAGGTGGTAAATTCTGCAAAAAGTTTGTTTTGTTTGCAGACTGGCCCCTCTGGATGCTGGTAAAATACTTAATTTAACACCGATACCTTACCATTGTCTTTCTGTTTTTGTGTAATGTGATTTAAATGTAGAATTCACAAAAATTACACTGTTCTGAATTTAACTAGAACTAGAATATTCATTCAATGATTAAATGGTTGCCTATCTTTGTAATATAATGTTTATGGATACATTTTAGTTTGTTTGAATAGCTATTTAATTTGTTTTAAAATAACATGTTATTTATTTGCAAGTTGATTTTCACTTTTGCTGTAATTTAATTTAAAGAACTAGCTGTAAAAAAGTTAAGAGAGATTTTAACAGTTAGAGAAGTCATTACTTTCTTACAGTCTTGTTACTGATATTGTTACCAAGCAGAATAGGATTTGTTGTCACAGCCTTTGGTGAAAAGTTTTATGCTATGGTGGGCTGTTGTGTTCTATTTTGAAACCATTTGACATGTTGCATCTTTGGAAATTTTATGTGGTTAATCATATGAGCTACATGGGCCTATTGTCATACACTGCACTCTTGTTTTGGAGATGCATCTCCTTTTCTGTTTTATTGATACTAAGCCAATAACGAACAAGGTTTATTGAGAATGCAACACAGAAGTCAAAATCTTGAGATATATTTATTTGAGCAAGGTGGTACTAGGAACTGGAAATGCTGTCCAATAAAGTATGTTTTACATTAAGTTAGTACACACAGTAAAGGCAGATAGAATCTGTTTTTAATGCATGTTAAAATGCAGTATTTGGTATGATGTAATCTAGTATGGCAGGAGTTGGAGTAATGGAGTAGTCTTTCAACAAGAAAAATGATGAGAAATGCATTTGTTTGCTTATTTTAGCAAGCCTATTACCAGACTAAGTTTTGATGGAATTGTGGTTTGGATAAAAAGCTAATTTTGGTTAACATTCCTGTGGAAGGAAATATTATGAAGGCAAAAAATTATCATTATCTTTGACAAAAGAAAGTGCATCTGAAAGCTAAGCAAAGGGAAGTTTAGTATAAAGTGTCAGGTCTCAGAAGATTCAAATTTAAATTTGATGGATCTTCTAAATAGACAGTCATCCCAAAGTAATTTTTCTTCCATGTATTTCCAAATGATGAACAACAAATCTGAAACAGATATACAGACTTTGACTTTGATGCAGAAATAATTTACTCTAAAGCAGTGCAATTATCATATGCCAAAAGATATGATGCATTTAAGAGAGTTAGCATCCAGAAAGAAGTTGACTAGCCTTAGCAGTCTACTTTTGTTGCTAGAAAAGGTTTTTGCCCATTTCTTTGTCCAAGTTTCTATGGCTTGTATACTCTGAAAGTGCCTGCATTTTTAGTAATTTCATTGGTCAACTTTCGTTAATAATTCTCTTCTATGATGAGTCTTGTGCCCTTAAATTTTTATCAATCATTTGGATGTCCACAAAACTACACTTCTTTCTATAAAATTCCACATGTTAAACCATTAGAAAACCAAGCACAATTTGCCACACACATTTTGTCTTGATCTTTGTGTTATTTTTCCCTGCATTACCCAATTTTCAATTACTAGTGTTGCTATGCTTATTAAGTAATTCTTTAATGTTGCATCATTGTTGTTTTTTGGGCAATAATATGAGGGGGCAAGCCTATTTTTTTGATAAGATGACATCACATTTGTCCATTCTTTTTAGAATAAAAGACCTCTGTCTTCCCAAAATGTTGGGGAACAACTACCTCCCTTCATCTCCCCTGGGTGTCTGCCACTTCTTATTGTTTGTTTCTATTTCTCCTCTTAAAATTTCAATAATTTTAATCATTGCATCCATAAAAGACAGAAAACAATTTCTTGGGCGTTTCCGGGAAATGGGCGTGGTCGGTCGGTCATAATGGGTTTTGAGAAAGTCAAATTTTTGTCTGGATCCGCCCCTGAACTGAGATCTTTAGGAATTTTGCATTGATCATGTCGTTCCCGTGTGCCTTTTTGTGATTCAGCTTCACAACTATTTGTCTTAGGCTTCTTTGGTGATCGCTTTAAAGCTTAAGGTTGAGTTACTCTAAGGTCCTTAATAGAAGGGGGGTCTTGATAGTTGGGGGGAGTCAGAAACTTTTCAAAAAATAAATAAGCGGGGGGTCCTAGTAAGTGGGGGGTCGGAAATGTGAAAAATCTGAAAAATCACGTGATGATTCTTTTTAGGGGTTAAAGGAGATTTTCTTCTGAATACAATCGATAGCAAAATGACAATTATCACCATGTAATAATATATTGTTGTATTACTAAAATGAGCAGGCTAATTATCATTGTGTACATCAGTCAGGCCTATGTAAATCTTTTTAGGATGTCACTACTTTTTTATGTTAAAACATTTGTACAATGGAACTTCTTCATTTAAGAGAAACTTTGCAGAAATTTCACACTTTAAAGGACAAATGATTAAAGGACAAATGAAATAAGGGATATGAATGACTGCATATAAAAATTAATAAACGGGGGATCCAAATAAGCTCCGGGGGGTTCAGAAAAAAATCAAAAAATTAATAAGCGTCCCCCCCTTCTATTAAGGACCTTAGAGTATTTGTTAGGAAGTTGTTGATTGCTTTTATGCTTGATACTCTTTAAAGTATTTTATTATTTCAGTTATTGTTGAATTCTCAGTCAGATCTTTATGGATTGAATCAAAGATCTTTGATTGAATTTGTAGTTTGACAACCCCCGTATATATTTCTATCAGCACGATATGGAATTTTATATCCAGGAATAAAAAATTGTTCAATTGAAAAAGAATCATCAATTTTGGTTTCACTAACTTGTTTCTGATACTGTTAATGTTTAGATGAGCAAGAATAGGGTTTTTTGGGTATTTAAGCCGAACCTGTTTTAATTCTTTGTAATTTGATGCCGATTCAGTTATATTATTTGAAGTGTAAGAAAGAAAGCAACTTATTCTTATTGAGTCATGCAGAACGACAGGCCTTAATGCAATCCCTGAAATTACAAGCGAGTTTTGCGCTACCTCATTTGTTTAAGTGCAGACCACTGTTGCACTTGTCATACACAGTTATATTACTGTTATCAATAAAATGAAAGTTGTTTTTTTCACAAATGTCATACAAGATATTATTCAGCTGTTGGACATTGACATCAGAATTGCTATACTTAGCTTGACGAATGATTCCCGAAATGAAGATACTGCATGTTTGTTTACGTCTCCTGATGCTCGTTGCCATTTCTTCAGGGCCTCCGACGAAGGGGGGCCGGGGGGCCATGGCCCCCTCACTTTTTTGCAAAACAATAGAGCTTTTTTTAAAAACTTTTGTTAAGATTGTAATATTTTCTCTTGGCCCCTCCACTTTCCAACCTGCGTCGGAGCCCATGTTCTTTCAATTCCTCGTCTATTTGTCGCGGACTGCTGGAGGTGTTCATGACGTCATTTATGCCGCAATGTAGAATGATAAAGTCTGGCTTTTTTGAGATGATAGGTTCGATATAGTGTTCCAGTTCCATAGCCTTCATACCACCGATGCTGATTTTGTTGACCCATGCTTGCATATTTTTTGAAAGTTTGTGAGGGAGAATATTCTTGATTATAGAGTCGCCAATGATAGCAATGTAAGGTTTCTTATCTGATGGAGGTTGGTAATTATGAGTAAGTGAAAATTGTCGTTCTGAAATGATGATCGTTGTGGTCTTCTGGACATAGCTGATTTATCAGTAGGTTTCGCTTGATGGATAACTTTATTTGGTTGGATTATGGTGCTACGTGGTTTATGTGATGGCAAAGTGGCGTTGTTTGGAACATTTTGTACGGAGGGTATAAAAGCGGGAAGAGAATTATAGGGCACATCTTCAGAAATGAATTGTAAGGTATCAGATTTGTTTGGATGTGTAAACGTGTGTGTTGCCTCCTGGTTTAAAGGACGGTTGGTGGGTGTTTTGAAAAAGCTAGTTTTGAGATTGATGACTGTATTGGTTTGTCTTATAGCTAACAGTTTGCTACAGAATTTACGCATTATCATGTTTGTATTTCTTTTGGTCAACAATTTCCTTTTTTAGGGCTTCGATTTCAGCTAATAAGATACTGTTTTCTTTCCGAAGTCTTAGATTTTCTCTTTCGATATTTTGAAAACCATCAAGGGTTGTTCCGTCCTTGGACAATTTTAGTTGATTTATCTCAGCCTTCATCAGCTCAATATGACTCCAGACTGGCTGCAATGCTTTGTCAAATGCCGATATTTGATTTGGACCGTATTCCTGCCGGGGCTGAGCTTTAGAAGCCATCAGATTGTCATCAGCTTGATTATTATCGCCGTTTGCGTCCTCCTTCTGTTTCAGTTCAATTGCTTTTAAAAAGGTTTCTCTAAACTCATTTTAACCCTCTCCAATAATGCAGACTGTTGCTGAAGGAATATATACCTAGAACCAGGCTGAATGACGACCCCAATGTGCCCTTTCTGCAGCTCCTTCCTGCCCCCGCCGCATCATCAAGCTCTGTTGTGAGTTAAGCCTTTATATATATATATACATATATATTTTTTTTCTATACTCTTACATCCTTAATTTTTACTCTTACTGTTATAGACTACTTCAAACTGAAATGGAAATTATAATCTTGAGTTTAAATACGTCACTAGACTATGACTCGATAGAATAAATATGACTCGATAGCTCTTCGCGAGTTTTTCTCATGTGTCCTTTAGCATAACAAAACCAACTTATCTGATGTACTTAATTAACTAAATTTTTGAAAATGCTAACTTTTGTATTCTAACTTTCAATTCTTGGTATATTGTAGTTAACATTTTGTTTTTGCTGATAAAGATTCAGAGTTTGAGTTTTGAGTTTGAGTTTGAGCATTTCTTGAAATATGCTGTCATATTTTCTCACTTGTTTTATTGTTGATTAGATCCTGCTGTTTTCTCAACTGATGATGCCAGCCAGTATGAAACACGTCTGAAACGATGTTGACATGCATCATAATGACGGTAAGTGTTTCTTTGACAGAAGGTATTTGTTTGGCAGTCATCCCATTGCATAAAGAGAGAAGCGACACACCTCACCTCATAGTTCCGCTTGAAGGTAGGAAGATACGCACGTCTGCTTGAGAGGAGGGTCACAAAGCAGATCAACTAGAGTTGAGCATTAAAAGGCACGATGAGAACCCTACGAACGCTGTTGGTTTGTAAGTAAATGGCTTTGTTGAATTGAATTCCATACGAATCTCTTGGCGTTGTCAATTTTCTTCCTATATGCTAGAATGGAGTTGACATCTTTAGCTTTGTCTCTACCAAAAAATCCATTGTTTTGAGACAAAGCGACGGACATCTTTTTCTAGACATTACACTAGATTTACTGCTGCGGTAAAATAATTAAAGTATTCAGTTTTGATTTATTTCAAAGGACGATTTCAAATCGGAGGTTCTTTTTTATTGAAGATCTGTAGATAGCGAGATGCAAAATCACTGGCCTCTATGCTAACTAATACAAATGACACTGGCGTGCCTTCGGGATGCTAACCATATGATGACGAAATGTAAATTGTTTTTTGCTTTAGTTGCTGGTCTTGCTTTGCTGGCGTTTGCGAGTGATGCAGACAACGAAATGGAAAGTGATGTAGACACCGACTGCATACAGGTATGAAGTAGCACCAGACTTAAACGTAGCCCTAACATAGCCATATTGTTAACAGCAGGGTTGGAAGGTAATCTCATTGTTTGAAGGTAAGTAGTCTGTGATGCAGGCTAGGTTGAAAGGTAACTTCATTGTGAATGCCGTTTCTGACGCCAAAGTTGTTGGATGTAAATCCCAGGTAAATTTTAAATAAATATTGCCAGAACCTTCAAATAATTCAGATTATGCTAAAAACTTGCTATTTTATCCCACTATGTTTTTTGAATTATTAAATACCTTAAGAAGTCTGTGGTTAATTATGGTGCAATGTGGTTCAAATAAGGCACCGAATTTAGTTTTCATAGAGGTGTCTTGAAATTTGCAACACTTTTTTTTGAGAAATAGGTCTCCCTAGAAGTCTTTCTGCCCCTCGTCGTGTAAATTCCAAAGATTAACACGTCAGTAATATCTATGAGAAATTGTTTTACACTCTTTTTTATAAGAACAATTTTAAAAGAACACGAACCTCAAAACTGGTCAAAAATTAAGAACAAATTAAGAACAAGCTGAGGCTGAGCTTTTGCAAAATGCAATTTTGAACAACGTTTTTCTCAAAATCGAGGATTTTAGCGATGTGTGGGTGCTTTTTCGGTAAATATTCAAATTTGTCAGCAAATTAAGGCTGTCTCACTCACTTTGTTGGTAAACGAGGCCTGAACACCTTCTTAGAGCGAAAAAGCTAGCAATAGGACTGCTTACACCCTCTTAATTCAAGAACAAATTAAGAACAATCCAGCCTCAGATTTTCGAAAAAATTAAGAACAGTCAGCCTGAAATTAAATTTACTGGTTCCTATAAAAAAAGAGTGTATTGTAATTGTACTCTATTATCCCAGGGCCCACGGCACTGGGGAACCGGGGTGGCCATGACCCTTTTTTACAAAGCAAGTAATTTTAAAGCTATGCACAGTGAAAAGGGAAAGAAGCCTTGGCCCCTACTTTTGCCAGCCTGGGCCCTGTTATCCCGCATTGAAGCCTATGGGCCTATATGCAAATTCTTTACGATTTGAATTTTGCAATTTGAAAAGCGTGCCCTTGTATAGGCCTATGAATTGTGATGTTTGGCATCGAACTCCCTAGGAAAAAGAAAAGCTTTTGTATGAGGCTAAAGAGACAACAACAGGAGAAATGGTTAAGAGGTCCTATGCATATATGTTCTTAAAGGACCAAAAACACATCTTAAAAAAGCAGAATATTGTCAAGGATTTTGTCGAAAAAGAAGAAAATATATGACTTTCTATGAAGTTTCCTTTATTCTGAAGTATCATTTACAAGCTCATCCTGAAATGAGAAGTCTCTCACTTACAGCCTCATCGAGCCTATCCGGGTACAAGCCCATGTGCTTTTATACAGGTTGGGCTTATATCTCGGGGGGGGGAGGGCACCTTAACATGTTTGAAGGTACGGGGACGTACTATTATTTAGGGGTACCTTTTTCTGAAAAGTGCAGAATTATCGGTACATCAGTTTTTGAAATATATGCGGAATTATCGGTATCAGTTTTTGAAATATGTGCAGAACTATGGGTACCATTTTGGGGAAATATTGCAAAATTATTAGGAGGGAGATTAAGCATTAACAAAATTAATGTCCAGTTAAAAATAAAAGTATGAAATGTGTGCAATATTGAGATTTTGGGGCATAGGACATGCAAAATCTGGTTAATGATTTTTTATGTGCTTTAAAAATGTTATTTGCTCTGCAGAATAATGGGTATGTTTTTCATCATGTTTGCGGGATTATGGGTCACATTTTTTCAGACATTTGCGGAATTATGGGTCCAAAATTTTAACCAAAATGGCACGTCCCCGTCCAAAATTAGACATAGTTTATCCTTCGAGGCTTATATGCCGGGTAATAGGGTATTAAATATAATTTAATTGTAGATTTATTTACAGAGCTACAAAAGGGTGTTTTCAGAAAGGTTATACTGATAATTACCTATCGTTTTTTGAATGGATTAATTAGCAACCAAAGGTTGAAATTTAACTGATAAAGCTATGCTCTTTGCAGCGTACATTGTTGGATCCTTCAAGCGATGTTAATGATGCCTTCAGGAAATGCGATGGTGCTAAGGATTCAAATGCTGCGGAGGAATCTCAAACTGCTGGAAATGATGATCTGAAAGACCTTGATGAAGATTCTGAACATACCGAGATGACCAGCAGAGAAGATTCGGACGGCAGCCCTGTGGCCGAAGAACAGGACACCGTAGCATCGGCAGAAAATGCTCCACGATGGTCTACTAGAAGGCGCCGATCAGTTCGTACGCGCCGATCAGTCCGCAGACGTAGATCAGTTCGCAGACGCCGATCAGTCCGCAGACGTCGATCAGTCCGTAGACGGCGAGCAGTTCGAAGACGCCGAGCAGTCCGTAGACGGCGAGCAGTCCGAAGACGCCGAGCAGTCCGAAGACGCCGAGCAGTCCGAAGACGCCGAGCAGTCCGAAGACGCCGAGCAGTCCGAAGACGCCGAGCAGTCCGAAGACGCCGAGCAGTCCGAAGACGCCGAGCAGTCCGAAGACGCCGAGCAGTCCGAAGACGCCGAGCAGTCCGAAGACGCCGAGCAGTCCGAAGACGCCGAGCAGTCCGAAGACGCCGAGCAGTTCGCAGACGCCGAACAATTCGCAGACGCAGTAAGTGAAGTTGGATCCTTTGCTGTTATCTTTTTGTAAACGGGTTAAACTCTGGTCTGCTAGGAGTAAAAACGAATTCAAAACAAAAGATAGATTCAGCCAAAGCAGAAGTAATTTTTCAATCACAGTGATAATTTCACACCCGAAGATGAATACGCTGTTGAAAGCGCATGCCCTTATAAACGGAATTTCACGATTTGCCTTTTTGCAGAGTACTAAAAACGATTCAGATACAGGCACATCCGCCTATGGAATGACAATGCAGAAGTAATGTTTCAACAGTAGAAACTGGATATTTTAACAGTTATTTAATGTCATCTTTCTCAGCGTCCGAATGATTATCATAACTATTAGTTCTCCATTCAGCTGTTCGTCATTAAGGTTGCCTTCTCCATCATGTAAATTTTTGATAATGGAAGAAAAATAATCGAGGAAGCGTGTAGACGTTGGGAAATAGAAAATAGATAGCCATGTCGCTAATTTTTGTCTTTCTTTTTTCTCGCAAAAACCGTAAGATTCAGATCCACTTATAAGGGCACTGCGCCTATATCCGGATATAAGCGGGGTTAATAGGATATGAGCAGTGAAATGTTATCAATGCAGCAGGTACGGTGCAACAGAAAGTGGCACCAGAAAGTACATGAATTTTCCGAGCATCCAAATGATTCTACATAAACCAGAAATATACTTTTATCGTATCTTTATGCCCCTTTGCCTAAAATAGGCGAATCAAGGCCCATTTTAGTTACAATGCCTGCCAAAATTACTTGGAACACCAAGCAATTTGCGTTATGTTTGCCAATACAACTCCTTCCACCCCTTTCCCCCTAGAACAATGTTGATAATTTTCAAAAATATTATATAGGTCGCAAGAAAAAATGTACTTCTTTATCTCCTACTTTTATAATAAACCAGCATCTCTCCTAGAAGAAGGGGGGAATGACTGATTTTGCTTTTGAAAACTGACATAAGTGTTCCAAGACTTTAGGCAGAGATTGCCTCTCTTATTCTTTTCATAGCCCTTGATTGTTTGATTCACATTGCAGCTGGAGAATTCCGACCAAACGGCTGTAGCATACCTTACGGACTGCCATTCCCATACAAGAGAGCTTTCACCCCTGCTTGCAATCAACACGATTACTGCTACCACTACGTAAGCAGTACACTTTAAATATTTATTTAAAAAAATTGTTTACACTTTACATTATAGGTTTGTTTAAAAAAAGTTTAATATACACTTTACTTTATAGGTTATTAGGAAGGCCACGACTCCAAACCCCCAAACCCCCAAACCCCCATAGCCGTTGTGACCACATATATTTTCTATGTGTATTCTATAACCGTCAATTTGCTAGCATCGTTTAGAGGATGCTGCAAGAAAGGGGCAGTGATACATGTGGCCCTCGGAAGAATAACAAAAATGAAAATACACTCTTTTTTTGTAAGAACCAGTAAATTTAAGTTCAGGCTGATTGTTCTTAATTTTTTCGAAAATCCGAGGCTGGGTTGTTCTTAATTTGTTCTTAAATTATTAGGGTGTAAGCAATGCGATTGCTAGCGTTTTCGCTCTGGGGAGGTGGTGAGGCCTCATTTCCCAACAAAGTTTGAATATTCACCGAAAAAGCACCCACACATGGCTAAAAATCCTTGTTTTTGAGATGAAACGTGGTTCAAAATTGCATTTTGCAGTAGCTCAGCCTCAGTTTGTTCTTAATTTGTTCTTAACTTTTGACCAATTTTGAGGCTCGTGTTCTTATAGAAAAGAGTGTGAAATCATGACTTTTTCATAACAGTTTTTTGAAAAAGAATGCGTTTTTCTAAGAAAGCAAAAAAGAAACTTCGTGTTAACAGGACCTATGAATACGAATTTCCTTTGGAATTTAGAAATTCATTGTTTCTTTAGAACCTAATTTTGAAGAAGGTCATGTTTGCCGGCCAACCCTGGCAACGATGCCTATTGGCCCGCTTAACGCCAATAATAATCTTCCTTCTATTTTTCAGAAACGATCTTCAAGGCTAGGATGTGACAAGATATTTTACCGCAATATGCTGAGAAAATGCAAGCAACGTGCGCGTAGCATTGCAGGGAAGCTGACGTACGTCGACTGCGTGAAGTACGCAAGTGTCTACTACGCCGCAGTGAGAGCTGGAGGTGGCTCACATTACGGATGACCAGTAAAAGCTGTATTTGTCTGCAAAGACTACGCTTAGACGCTTTAGATATGCTTTCGATAGACTTAGATAGACTACGCTTTAGATAGACACCTTTTTATCTTCACATGTTTTATCACTTAACATCATTCTCAGCAATTTTGTTCAGTTAAACGTATTTGGTATTGCAGCTAAACATCGTTATATCTGAGTGGCTTGAATCTGTTTGTGATCACGATGATTGTGATCATTTGGCAAAGATTTGCATCAATATATAACAGTTTCTATTGGTTGGGCAATACTTTATTAGGGCCACGAGGGCATGCATTTATTTTAGACAAATCATGAGGTTTTGTATTTCTTTAATTTCAGATATCATACGAAATTTTTAGAGCAATAGGATTTTAGGCATTTCGGGGGGATTATCCAAACAAAACGTATGACCAAACAAACATAAAAGACCAAACAGCATTTTCTATTTAAATCTAAGTACTGGTAAAAAGATAAAGAAGAGGGCCCTAGAAAATAGCGAAGGAGAAGTAAAATTCTAGCCACTTAAACAGCAATATTTTTACATGCAATGACAGCGATGTGGAAACAAATTATGATTGAGATGCTGTCACCATGCCCCAACAATTGACCGTTTAGAGTAATGAGAGGCTCTGCGGCGCGTTAATAATTGAGAAAACGTTGAGAGTCAGTCTTCCGTTGCCGATTGGATACGTAACAAGGGGAATATTGCATAGTCCAACAACTGGAAATTTAGATGGCCATCGAAATACGTCGGGAAAAGAGCCTTCAAGATCTAATGAATATTTTGCAAACTGACATTTTGTTCATCAATGAAGCTATGTATGCCTTTCTGCATGTGGTCAGCCAACCTTTAGGAACTTTTGGTAATTTGCTAATGCAACTAGCTAGTCTCCAAAAAGTTTAGGTATGAAGTCACTATTACGTGGCCAAAATTTGTCGGGTGCATTCAAATGAGTCCTGTAACAGGGGCGTCACCAAAGGGGGGTATCGGGGGCGCTGTACCACCACATTATAAGGATTTTGCCGGGCAAAAGAAGAAATTTTTTTCTGTAGCAGTCGAACTTTCAAAGAATGGTACTTAAGTATGAATTTTGATATAGAAACGCATAAAAGCAGCATATATTATTTATCTAATGACCACACCTTTAAAGTTTGAAAACGCCCTTTTCGTCGGCAAAAATAATTTTTGTACCCAAGGCAGCGCGAAGAAATGAAACCACTGATGTTCGTCGGGCTCCTAGCCAGTTTTGCTTTTGCAACGAGATCTAAAAAAGTTATTCTTCCTTTCATTAAGCTTAAAGTAATAAACAGGTTTCCTCGTGAATTTTGCAAGTTTTTTCAAAAGTAATCGTAATTGTAGTTTAGGTTCTGGCAATTGTGATTAAGCCTCCAGATCTCTGCATTATTCATATCTAAACAATTTGTCTCTCCGAAGAGATTTAATTCAAATTATATAAAATATGTTGGCTCTTTTATCTGCCCCAAAAATATACTCCCTTTGTAGGTACCTTTGTCCTTGAAATTACAATATACATCTTTAAAAAGACCAGTGCTGTTGGAACGAAATTCATACATGAAGGCTGCCCGATTGTATTCCTCCTCATTAAGTACAATGTTATAAATGAAATATACATAGCACAATTAAATAACGTCTCAATGATACGCCCGAATCAAAGGATTATTAAGCATACGAACGTTAAGACATCAAAGGTACCATTGACACTACAAAACAATTGTCCTAAGTGATATTTATTATAGAAACTTCTTGTTGCGTTGAACTGCCTTACCGACACTTACCATATAAATTTAAGAACAAATTTACCATTTCAATCTTCTTTATAAGAAACATTAAATTGAATTTAATGCTGTTGTTCTTAATCTTTTCGAAAATTTGAGGCTGAACTGTTCTTATTTTGTTCTTAAATTTATAGGGTATAAGCAGTGCGATTGCTAGCTTTTCACTCTGGGGAGGTGTCCAGGTCCATTTGTCAACAGAGTGCATGAGAAAACCTTTATTTGCCGCCATGTTTGAATATTCACCGAAAAAAGCATCCCAAAATGGCAAACAAATCCTCGTTTTTGAGATGAAACATTGTTCAAAAACTTTTTTCACGGTAGCTCAGCCTCAGCCTCAGCTTGTTCTTACTTTGTTCTCAACTTTTGACTAATTTTGAAGCTCGTGTTTTTATAAAATTGTTCTTATAAAAAACAGTGTAGAGGTAATATAATTATGTTTGAGAATAAAAATCACCTGTTGTATTTTGCATGCAGCAGGGTAGTTTCCCCATAATTATTTTTGATGGCATTGAGGGAAGCTTTGATACCTCATTAAAAAACATTCTCTTGCTCGTCTCCCCAAGGTTAGGCAAACACATCGGTGAACTTGTGGAGACACTGAGCAAGGATCAAAGCGGGAACAACTTACCGTATTCTATGTGTTAGTGTTACGGTATTTTAGTGTTATGGGAATTACCAAAAGTGAGATGTGAGGCGGGAAGAACAACTTTCGCTTTTCAAGAAGCGTCAGTTTATAACAGCCTACCACGTGACATCAGAAATGAAAAGTACTTTGTCAATTTTAAACGGATAATAAACACTCACTATTTTTAAAATCCTGAACTTTTGATCCTTTTACTTCAAAAACTTTAATTTTCATAGGACCCTTATTGATAAGCAGTATCATTTTTACTGAAAAGGTTATCCTGCATAAATATATTGAATTATTATTATTATAACTGAGAGCCAGTTCCCAGCATTTCCAACTTTTGCCAGGGCAAAACTTTTTCTGCAGGGCGAATATGCAGCCACCCCCCCCCCATCCCCCCCATCCCCACAAAAAGTATGAAGTGACGCCCATGTACCTAAACATTGCGAGAAAGTGACCCGCAAGCATACCCACTTGGAAAATGAAATGATACACGTGTCACCAGAAATGTTTCAAGAATAACACGAGAAAATTCAGCTAAAATTTCAATTGAAATTTCATTTTTCTTTCTCAAATCTCCTACTTCTGCACTCTAATTAAAATAATAATATTTATGCTCATAAATCTCGTAAACCTCTTTGATAAAAGAACTCCAAAGACATTAGCATAGCCCCAAAAACTAACTCTCTGCAGGAACATTACGACTGTCTTACAAGTAGAGCTGATTCCATACAAAGATTGATCACAGGATCACTTATGCAAGCATAGGCAGTTTAATAAATCTGTTTCTTGGCCAATGCTTTTGTGCATGAAACAGAAATGAAACAGAAATGAAACAGAATGCAGCGTTTTCCCAAAAATAAACAACGAAATTGTAGGAAATCTCAGGTGAAAAATCACACTGAAAGCATTGGCCAAGAAATGTATTATGAAAATTACAAAGACGCAAAAATAGTTAAATTGCATTGTTGGTCTTTAGACAAGTCCACGTTATCTAGAACTGGGAGATTAGCTACGACCCCAAGCCCCCCATGCACCAGATCCTTGCTTCCCATTGGTTGCTTGAGCACCCAGACCAAGAGAGGGGAAGTCTTGGGTGTCGGAAGAATCCGGCACTTCCTGCTTACCAGCGCCTTTCGGAGCACCTTGTTGCCATGGTGCATCACGGACCACGAAGCCTTTGCTGTTACTGTCATCATCATTCGGGTTTGACTTTTGGGTGAAATAGTCAGAGATAGTTTTACGGCTGTCGTAACGCTCCCTCACATCATCAAGCTGTAAAAAAGACAGGAAAGTCTTACAACGATGTTAATACAGCTACTAGATAAATATCAAACCTTTCGCTAGCAAAGACACCTTTTATTGAAGAGAAGAGAGAGTATGAGAGACAACAGGCTAGAAACGAAGACATGAGGAGAAAGGAGGAGACAAGAGGTAGGCCAAGAGGGGAGACAGGGAGACCAGAGATGTGAGGATGATAGAGAATAGGCTAGAAAAGAAGAGACAAGGAGACACGAGTTGGACCAGGAGACAAGAGGAAATTGGACGAGAGACAACAGGCTTGAAAAGCAGACAAAAGAGAGACGAGGTGACAAGAGGAGCGACGAGGAGACAAGAGATAAGGGGAGATAAAATAGAGGCGGAAGGTCACTCTTCTCCAGCTCCCAGTAGAGTTATTTTGCCAAGGTGGTAGACATGGTATAAATGCAACTTACGTATTCTTCCTCAAGCATAAGCAAATGCTCTTCACAATCGTCGACAGCGTCTTCGGGTCCTGTGATTGTAACAACATCTTCATTTGGGTCACGTGGGAAGCGAATGTCAACATTAAACTGATCCATGATCTTGCGAACAGACTTGCCCTTCTGCCCAATAATGCGGTTGTGAACTCTGTGGTCAATCTTGATGTCGATTGATACCATTTGTTCCTGAATGGTAAATGCTTTGTGTAACACGGAGCATATATTCAGGAATAAAATTTTAAGAGAATAAACAAAATTTTAGTAAGAGTGCCGTATCACAAATTGCCTGGTCATAGTACTTCTGCTACACCGGTTAGCACAGCTAGCTATATGATATTAAGTACAATCTCTGCTAAAAATTTCTTGGAGCAATTAGTAATTTGTATTGTGCGTTTTCTTTTTTCAGTTATTCCCCAAGTCAGGGGCGGACACTTGATCAAATATTGGGGGGGGGGAAACCTATTGTTTTAATAAGATGACGTCACATTTCCCATTGTCTTAGAACAGAAGACCATTGTCCTCTTAAGTATTGGGGGGCGGTCACCCCCCTTGCCCCCCCAAGTGTCCGCCACTGCCTAAAATACCACTATTTCCACCCCCAGCCCCTAGATGCTCAAGGTATAGACAAATATCGTACAAGCCACGAGAGAAAACCATGATTAGGGGGGAGGGTTGGCTGAATTTGCTTATTAAAATCTTTCTTGGTTTTAAACAACATCATACACGATGTAGATCCTCTTCAGGAAGCGATTCCCAATAGTCCCTTAAAAACCAACGCCTCTGTTAAATCATTTTCCAAGCATGAGAGTATTTACAGATAAAAACCCATGATCAGTTGGTGGTGCATGATATCTTATCATCAAAGAGATCAGTACAGGTCTGTGGATATCAACTCATCATTTCATGGGTTTCCACTAACTCCCTCCAACCAACGTTATCTTAACAAACAATCTTCATTTGAAATACATTTCAAACAAACCACAGATGTAGTGGCAAGGGTATGTAACTTTCAATGCTGAAGTGAGAAATCTTGTTGTGCACACGGCAACAGATATTGTCCTTCAACGGACTTTTTCGGTCCAAAAAGGCCAACAAAATCAAACATGACAGCATTATTTTCAAAGTGTCCAAATTACGGGTATAACTTTCAAATATAGTTTCCAGCTCATAAATGTTTGTCAAACAACTAAAGCTTGTTTTCTTTACCATACAGGGACTTCAACTTTCCTGTGTCTATTGCCTCCAGTAGTTTTTAGGTTAATGATGCTAAGTCCAGACGAAGTGAAACAGAAAATTGAATGGAAACCCTTAAGTTATCTCAACTTACCAATTGGCTGACCATTTCAAGAATAGCAGCCTTAGCTTTGGCACAATTAGCTTCATATCCAGTGAGAATGACGGTGGGGTTCTCTGCTTTACCCTCTGAATCTGCGGAAGGCACTTGAATCTGCACGTCATAGTCAGTGCGCAGCTTTCTCACTACTCCTCCGCCACGGCCAATAATCTTTGAATGATATTTCACCGGCACTTCGATGCTCAATTGAAAGCTTCTCAATTTCTACAAAAGAAAAAAGAACTTCTTCAACACACAGATGAGGGAATGTTGAAGTTGGTGGCAGTTGAAGGACTGTGATCTAGTCACGGGGATATTGCCTAGCGAGTTCTTTTTTCCAAAGAGCGCATAGAAAAATCCCATGCTGCTTTTTCAATTGACTTTGGGGGAATTTATCACGCAATACATTCTTATTCCTAGGGCATATTTTCTACACCAGCCCAAATTAAAGTAGCCAATGACTAATGTAATTGGTAGGGAAAAGGAAAGCAGGGGTTAGAGAGGCTGAGGGCTTAAGGCCAACCCCTATAATTTTCAAAAACAATTGGCCTTTTGCATGTGAGCCCCCCCCCCCCCAAAAAAAAAGGAAATCCGTAATATGCACCGCGTTCCCGGGTATTTGTACTATCAATAATACCTATATTCTCGGTCATTTACCAAGCATCACTGTTTGTTCCTTACAATGTAGCAGTTACATGATACAAAATATTGACCTTATCTTCCATTTCTGCTTCAATCGACTCGACCTTTTTCTTCAGTCCTTCCAAGGCGGCCTGAACATGCTTCGGAGGTCCTGTAACAACAACTTCATCCGATTGGTCCTTTGTTGGTGGGATGGCAATATTGACTGCAAACTCATTCATCAACGAACGCACTTCGCCACCGCTCTTGCCAATAATGTAACGATGGTAATCGAACGGGATATTCATTGTCTCAGACACTGGCACGAATTCCTGCAAGAAATGGAGAATTCTGTAAGCAACGGCTTGTATTTCACATCTGATCTAAAATGCTTTTGCTAGAAAGAATCAAATCGATTGTTAGTATTTAGAAATTACCAGTCTATTTGCTGGGGAAATTTCTGATCCTAAAGATTTGGTGTTTTATAGGTTTTAACTTAATTCCGATACTGGTTTGCAAGCGTTGAGTATAAACATACAATAACTTCCTTGTTTACTGAAAAATAACCCTATTAGAGCGACGTGTAGACATAATCGTGGATTTTAAAATGCAGTTTAATCAAGTATTGAGAAGCGAATACGATTAAAACTAGTGTAACCCTCTTCCTCCTTCCTCCTTATTCACTTGCAAGTTTCGCAAAAACCTCCCCAAGGCCGTTTACGATTAAACGATTAAACATCAAGCATACCAAGAGTTCCTCTTTGGCTTTTTCAGCATTTTCCTGCTTCCCAGTAATTAATATGATATCAGCCATAGGGCGTGGACTGACATCGCCATTTTCATTGGCCTCTCCATTCTCTGCGTTACCATTGGCCAAAGAACGGTCAGGGAACTTTATTTGCACGTTGTTTCTGGAAGTAATATCCTGGACATTCTTTCCCCGTTGCCCCATAACTGAACGATGGTGTTTCTGAGCGATTTCACACTCAATGGTAACCATCGATTCAAGGTCTTCCTCGATTTCTTTCATCTTCTTTTTTGCACCCTCAACACAGTCTGCAGCGCCCTTCAGAGTCACACGGGTGGAGTTTGCCTCCCTTGGCATGCTGATTGACACGCCTCCAAATTCCTCCGCAATATCTCGCAACACTGCTGCTCGTTTGACAGTGAAATAAGCGTGGTGTTTTGGGATGATGTCAACTGTATCTTCAACAATGTTTTCCTGCATACGGATTGAACAATCAGTTACAATAGAACCACTCTTGACTCATTTACTTCAGAATAACAGGCATTTTTAAAAACAGATAGAGTTTATCCTTCCTTAACGTTCAGATATTTTCATACATTTTCTTGTTGCGTCATGGCCAGGCTCTTATAACAATAATATTCACGCCCATTTTAGTCCTTCTCGTTAATCACGAATTTTTTTTGTAATCGCCAATAAGGCCTAAAATCTCAATACAACCAATCATAACCACATTGATGTTATTTCCTCTACCTGCGAGAAAGTGAGTTGCCCAATTTTAAGTCAAACAAGCCACGACCTTCCTTAATTTTCCGTTTAAAATTTTAGCACTACACAAAGTAATAACGCCAGACTGTGACGTCAACCAAACTCCGGGACGACTTACCAAGTCCTTGATCTTCTTCAACAGCTCCTCCTTCGCAGCTTCAACTGCCTCCTGCTTTCCAATAATTGTGATCAAATCTTTATCAGTGTCCTTGGCAGTGGGGAACAAGATTCTTGCACCGGTGTTGGCCCGAATCTTTATTAAGATAAAATGAAATCAAATGAAAATAACACTGCACCAAGAAACAAAAAAGATTGAACCATATTCCCTATATCAGAGAAAGGGCAAAGGTTCAATCATAAAACCATTTGGGAAAATAAACAGAACTCTAGCCCCAAAAAATGCTAATAGCTGAGAAACTTGCAGCTTTAGAAAAATTATCAAAGTAACACTAAAAGCTAGCATTAATGAGATATGACATAAATCATGTCAGAGCTTTTGGTAAATGAATAAGCCGAGCCCTTGAGTTCCAACAGGGAAGGGCATATTATTTCTAGAGATAGATGCTTTAAATTGCCTATGTGCAGAACAGAATGGCTGAGAGGATGTTGAAGAGCGCTGGATGAAAGTTGGAATCATAGATTTTTGCACAAAAATGGTACCCGATGACAGGGGCTATGAAAATATTAAAGAGGAAAATTTTTTCAAAGGCAATAGCGAGAAGAAGAACGGCTAGGCTAGGTAACTGAGCTCTGCTTCTTACTCGGCTTACTAAGAACTTATTCAGCAAATAGCCGAAAACTCTTATATTTGAAGAATTCGTAAAGAGACGTCCATTGAAAAAAATGGGATCTGAACAAAACCAACCTTTAAAAATGATAGAAAATATAAATTTGTAGGGAAAAAACGCAAATTAACAAGGCACTCGTCGAACTTACCTTTGCGATATTTGCTCCTCCACGTCCAATCAGGTATCTATGAAACTCAGGCTTGGCATGCACCTCCGCATTGAAGCTGCTCAGTTGTCTTTCAGCGAACTGCTTCTCACTGTCACTTGCCATCTCCAATAGCTGAACTTTCGCCTTCTCAACGTCCTCCTTCACTCCTCTGATTGTGACAGTATCACTGCTGGCTCCTTCGGCAGGGAAATGGATGTGCACGTCTCCGCATTCGTCCATAACTGACTTGATCAAACGGCCTTTGGCTCCAATCAAGGACGTATGAAATTTCTGAGGTATTTTTATCTCGACAGTCGCGATACTGGCCTAAACATGGGAATGAATAAATGAAAAAACGGCATTTGGGACTCGTGATCCTAAACAAGATGGGAATATTAAACATAAAAAACCTTTAAGCACCAATTAGAAAATACCCTGAAACAGTGAAATTGATTCTTTTGGCATGCTAAATTTCATGGCACGCGCAGAAAAAGATTCAGAGTAGGACACAAGAACTGAACGTGCACAAATCTTTTCTTCTAGGTTGGCCCATCGTTTTCACAAGTATGGTTGAGGGTGGGGGCAATGCTGCAGCCAATTTCAGACCTTCACCCAACTTTCTCGAAGATGCACAAATCTACTTTTCAAACAATTTCACGTTAATAATTGATACTTTTTGTTGGCAATGAGGAGGGGCAAATACAAATCAGGCTGGCTAGGATCGGTAAACGAAGCCTTGATAGGACATGCACAACATAGAAAAGAATGCAACTGCAATCAATATACCAGCTCGTTCTGCAAGGCGAGTATCATGTCCCTTGCTTTCTCGACTTGCGCTTTGTAGCCTGTGATGACAATGACGTCACTTGGACTTCCTTCGTTTGGTACTTTAATGGTTGTGTTTGTCTCGTCCTTTATCTTTTTCAAATTTTGACCCCCTTTGCCAATTATATTACGATGGAACTTCTTGATTATTGGCACGTCGACCTGGTAGTTGGCAGCAACGAGTTCGGCAGCGTATTTCTTCATGTAAGCAAAGCACTTATCCACTTCCTCTTTCGGCCCTCTTATGGTGACAACATTGCTTTTCTTGTTTGAATCTGGGAACAGTATTTGCACATCGCGGTAGTTGTCTCTGATTTCGTTGATGTTCTCTCCACCTGCCCCGATGATTGTGCGGTGAAACTTCTGCTCAATTATTATGTCTCGCGATTTTTCGTTTTCCTGTTGATAAGAAGCAAAGAGTCTTAAGTTGTGTTAAAGATTTGCAGAAAACATAAAAACTTGGGCAACGCTAATAGCGACCTATATGGAATGAAGATTTTTATAACCTTTGGGATTTTCCCCAGCTTATCAAGTAGAACTCTACCACAAAATTTTGCATAAATTTTCAGTATTGTCTCTGCCGCATCAATAATAATTCCTCGAGGTTCCATCTGTCTCATTCCTAGCAGAAAGCTAGACACTTCTCCACTCAAAGCCAGTTTCCAGTCATAGCCAGGTAGGAATGGCGAAAAAGGAATTAAAAAACTTAAGAAAAGACACGAAGGTAAATTAATTGAAAAGAGGTAAATTCTATGATGGGCTTTTACAGGAGGACAATATTTACCATTTTAGCGACCATTTGCATGATTTCCGCCTTGGCAGTTGCAACACCACTTGGGCTTCCTTCGATACGAATAGTATCAGAGACGATGTCATCAGATGGGAAATTGATAGATGTTCCACTCTCGTTCTTGATACGCGTTATGTTCCCTCCATTCTTTCCAATGATATGTCGGTGCCACTTCTGAGGGACACTGAACTCGGTATAATCCATGGTGTTTTTCTAGGAATTAACAGGCAATACGTAAGCAAAGCTGAACAACTAAGAGCCGTGTCTTCTTGAATGTTTGAAAGCATAGGAGAGAAAATTTAACAGGAAAACGTGTGCTTGCAATCAGCATCATTTAGGAAAAAGCTGCTGAAAAGGCAAATATGTAAGAAACAAACAACGGATGAATGATGAAAGTTGTGATTGTTATATGATCATGATACTATCTTAAATATTGAGTACGCTTGAGTCGTTTTTGTCCTATATTTTTCAGCGAATAGTAAAGTAGGTCAGATAATGACCAAACAGTAAGCGGAAATTTATATCCAGATGCGGATCTAAAGCAGTGTGAGAAGAAGCAAGACGCGTTTGATTGGTTTATTGTCTTGACCAATCAGCGACCATCAACTTCCTACAAGGCCCTAGAAACATCAGACCAGTTAGAAAACAAAATTACACACACGAATTTCTCATGAGACCACAGAAGCGTCACAATATTTACAAATTTACTGTCCAGGTGAGGCACGGATATAGAACAAGACTGTTAATAATAAACGGATTTCAGAAACGAATCCTGCCCAAGGCAGCAGGTACCATGAAAGGATCAAAAAGGCAAATTTTATGATTAGGCTACCAGCAATGCTGTTTCACACCAGCCAACAAAACACGTTATTTCCTGCTCAGGGTGCCGTTGCTTCAAGGGTTAAATAATGTACTGGGATGAAAAATTTTATGATATTTATGGGTTACCTCTAAAATCCTGATATTTTTTATAATGTTATATTTTTCAAATTGATGAAATAGACCCAAATAGTAAGGCAAAGTGAGTGAACCAAAACATCAAAGTACAATGGTCACAGATTAATAATGCCAATTTTGTTGGTGCAGCAATCTTTCAGTGTTTTTGATACAAAAAAATAAGTGAAGACAACTAGTTTTGCCTACCCCTGAGCAGGATAAGAATATATTAAACAGCAAGCAAAGGCTTTTCATTTAAGAACATCATAAAAATAGAAATAAGCATCTTTTTTATTTAGTGTCAAGAAGTTAAAAACTCAGAATCCACAATTGGAGAAAATCTTTAAGGAGGTCATGTGATGTGATCATGAACAATTCACGCCTCTGTTGATTCTCCTTAAGCGGCTTAATGACTATCAGTAACTTTGCGGATAACGATCAAGCCATCAAATGTTTCTTACCAGTTCATCAATGGAGGCTTTGAATGCATTGCGGCAAGATTCAACCTCATCTGGTGGTCCTTCAAGCTTGATCAAATTTTCTTCCTTGCTGAACTCCACATGAAGCTGAAATATAGCCACGCAATTTCAAAAATCTAAAGCGGTTAAAAAATGGGCCGTAAAGCACCATCAGAAATGCGTAAACAACAAAGGAAAACTAAACATATGTACATAATGCAATGAAATGATTTTTCAAACAGTGAAATACAAAGATCTGTGAAACCTATACACTTTCTTGTCACAAATGGAGCTATAAATTAAAATTAGGCTGTAAGAAGGAATCTAACGCTTTACAAAAGAGGAGGGAGCAAACACAGAAAAAACAACTCCAACTAGCAGAGACTTTCAATGAATATGAAATATCATAGATCCAAAAAGGATCATTATATAAAAATTCAATTTTGCAGTTTATATCTCAGTAATCTGATAAAAATATTAATTTACACTTTTGTTTCACAACTCTTTTAAAAAATTAAAAAATTACTCCAACCAAATGAAACAAACCTTGGGATAGCCTTCTGTGATTTTCTTAATGTTCTGTCCTGATCGTCCGATGATAAATCTGTGCAGCCATTTTGGAGCTTCAACCTCAACTGTAACAACACTGTTGGCTTTTGCATAAACCTGGGTCAGTGCAAGACCAAGTTTGTCTGGTTCACCTCTCAATGTTATTCTGTTCTGATCTACCTTGTCTGGTGGTACCTCAACAGAAACACCTAAAAGTAAACAAGGAAAAACCGTTTAGAAGATCTAATTCATATTCAAGTGATACAGCATTGATACAACTTGAGAAACAGGACATCAATATTGTGCAACTGCTAGCTCAGACAGTTATTCCCTTTACACAAGGTAATACCTCTCCCTAATTAACTCCTTGCTCCTTAGCTGCAAAACAGCATTTTGAAATTGACAGGTCATCAATTGGTAAACATGGAAATGAACAAAATGATTTTCAACTCAATAAAGGAAACTAAGGCACTAGATACATCAGGTAATTGTTTTAAAACATTTTTCCTGTGCAATAGCTGGCAAAGATTTATTGAAACTTTTTTCAAACTGTCACTGTCTTAGCCTCACTACTAAACAAGCAGTATCTAGGCAAAACAGGTGGCCACTATACCTCTGCTTTAAATCAGTCAAAAACGATATTGTTTCATTTCGCTGTGGTAAGCCAGAGGAGTACGACTGGATAGAATCAAAGTTAGAGCGATTCACAAAAATTAAATATTACCTTTCTTTTCTTTGGATAATGTTCAGATAATAACGTTATCAAATGATTAAGGGTACACCTGGAAACAAGTATAAAACAAGCAGTTTTTTGGCAGGGATTGTACCCTTTCAAGTTCTAAAATCAAAAATAATACACAATAATAGTTTCTTATTCATCTACATGATGCCTAACTTGCCTGTCATTGCAAAGATTTCCTGGATTCCCTGTCCTCTTGGCCTGATGATGTACTTGTGCTGTGCTTTTGGCACATCAACAGTCACTGTTGTACACTTTCGTCTTTTCTCTTCAAAGATGTCCATTATCATTCTAACAGCTTTCTTGACACCATCTTTATCTCCAGCAACAGTCAACTCATCTTTATACACTGTTGGTGGTGGTATGTTGATCCTGGCTCCAGTCATTGACATCAAATTCTCCAAAGTGGTATTGTTTGGTCCAAAAATAAATGGGTGATAGATCTTTGGGATTGGCATGCGTTCAAAGGCTAACTTGGCCTAAGAAAAGGTTTGTAAAAAATCACTAGTTTTCAGGGGACTTAGGAAAAATATATTCAAATTGGTGATGTAGCTGTTTTCAACACAATAGTTCTGAAGATTTTATCAGAATTTCAAGTCAAAAAGAAAATGGGGTAAAGCTTTATCTACACAAATGGCTGCCAACAGATAATCTTAGATATAAAAGAAAAACATACTTGTTCATCTGATATTAACTGAATCTCATGTTTGGCACTGGCTATTCCCTCCCGTGTTCCAGCAATGGTCACAACATCACTGTCCTTTGAGATGTTAATTTTGGCCGTTGTCTGTAATTCCAAATTCTTGAGTTTCTGTCCTCCTTTGCCAAGAAGGTACTTGTGATGTTCCTTGGGTATGTTCAACTTAATCTCTCCTTGGGTTTGAAGTGCATTGAGTACCAATCTTTTTGCCTGGGCAACACTTTCTTTTTTTCCTAATGAAACAAAATAGGTGTTAATGTATTACTTTCAAACTGTAAGATCATTAACATTTACTGCAAAAATTTTTTGATAAGCAACACCTGCAATAGAATCCACTGAGAATCTTGTTAGGACAGTCCCTAGTATCAGGGAGACAATAATAAAATATGCAAAATAATCCTCTGTGTGTCTTGGGATGATATTTTTATAAGAGCAACCTGTTACAGTTTCAAGTGTCTAAATCACTCACCAAACCAACTTAAAAGAATTTTAGAGGTGGATCTCATTGAAACTGAGATGATTTTGTCTGTTAGAATTGGTTTTGGCAGGCTCTTTGGCCTAGGGTTTAGTTAGCAACAAACCAGAGAAATGATGCTCACACGTTCCATAGACGTAAGCACTTTAGGCTGCTTGCTGAAAAACTGTGAATATCACTATTCTCAGAACTTTAAAATAATTTACCTGTAACCAGAATTGTCAGACTTTGATCCTTAGCATTGCAAACCTCAATGGTTGTTCCTGTTTTTGACATGACCTCGCGAATTGCTGCATTTTGCTTGTCAAGTTCACCATTGCCAAAGCTGTTGAAATTCTTGTACTTCTTTTCTTCATAGGGGACATTGAAAACCTAATTAACAAAAGCACATGCAATTTAACAATTTGCTAAGAAGGCCACAAGCATTTTTATGCTAGTATATAAATACTTCAAACACAGTTTTGTGACATCTGCAAAGTACAATTATAATCCCAGAAAGGATGATGAGATTTTCACTGTGCACTTCAGTCAAAGGTTAATGCAAGCATATTTAAAATACATATGCCCAATATTTTTTGTGAAGCAAGTGTTATGATATCATGTATATCTAGTGTATGTTAACATTGTGATTGAAATGCTGGAAAAACTTGATCCAAACTTTGAATAAAGAAACATTTAAGATAAAATATTTGTGTTGTTCCTGTTCTTGATACGACCTCACAAATTGCTGAGGTCATTGTGTAGACAAAAGGCACTGATTGGGCAACCTTAACAGTCATATGCTCTCGTTTCTGATTGGCCTACTTCGATCCACAACTGGGTATATATATTTCCTAGCGTAGAGTTTTTATCTATGTTCTGACATTTTATACTCTGAAGAGTGTCAGACCAAAAACTTCTGTTTACTCAAATGTTTGCTTTTTTCAATGTTTTATTGCATTTTTTGCATTTTGGTCCAGTGGCAGCTCGTGTATCTGGGCATACGTTTCACATTTATAAACGTGAATAATATCAACATCAATTATTATTTTAGCACTGTTCACTAATTTTGTTGCTTCGAGTTTCACCACTTTTCCAATCTCTTGTTTGTTTAGGTCCCAATGCCCATGGTTCTTTTGAAAACTGGACAAACATGTGTATCAGAAACAATCTCCTGAGCTTTTGGGGCTAGCTCCAAACTAGAAGAGAATGCACCAATCAAGTGATTTTTATGACTCAACTATTCAATTGATTACTGCCTTCTGATTGGTCAATTCTGCACGAATCTGCATTCTTTTGGGGCTAGTTCCAACTAGCCCCAAGTAATTCAATTCAACGATAGCTGAATATTTGTTGTTGTGATAGGCAATGTTGATGAGAAACTGGTCTTTGTGAAGAGAGAAACAGTCCAGCGGACTTGAACAAACAAAGATGATCTTGCCAACATTACACAAAGTTTATTTCTTTGTTTACTTTGAATTACACATAATTAATAGTGGCACTTGTTGTTTTCAATTAAAACTTCCAAAATGATGATAGCCTTGTTGATTGGAGGTAGTAAAGAATGGAAAGGCGATTTATTATTTTTGATGTTTTGTGTCTATGGCTTTAAATTTTGAATATTATGTCATCAGCCCCACCAATAATTTACTCAACGAGCCGCCACTGCTTTGGTCTTATCATGCTGTTTATTATTAGATGACTAGAATGTACGGTACTGTATTAGCATACTGCAGTAAACTGACAAGTCAACTCCACAAGAAATATGGTACAAAATCTCAACAACCTTATCCAAAACAACAACCTAAATAGTTAATTTAATTTCTTTGGTGAGCAATTTAACACAAACTTAAATTAATGGCCAGGTTTGATAACGAATACCTGACAAGTTAGGTGACAATGATGCTAATGTGTCAAAGCATATAAATGCTTATACTAAGAATGCAGTATACAGAATAGAAAGCTTCAAAGTATACACAAAAACACTGTAATCTGATGCAGCAGTGATATCAAAAGAAACCTACTTTGCCCTAGAGTTGACCTGTTTACATAAAAAATGAACTGATTAAAAATCTTTGAGTGAATCCTCTAATTAGCACCTTAACTGTCTATTGATATAAAAAAGAGGGGTGCTTAATAGGGACAGATATTTTGAATAGAAACACGCTTTGAGAAAAAGGTGCTGGACAGCCAGAGAAAATTGAGAACTTTCAGTGCTTAAAGCAAAAATAATAAGAAACAATCAAATTTTGAAACAACCCATAATTCATTTAACTAAAACCTTGGTTGGACTAAAATGTTAAGCCTGAAATACATGATCAGTTTTTATCAGGTTTTAACTGACAGTTTTCAGTTTTCAGTCAAAAACTGATCGTGTATTTAGCAAAAACTGATAAAAACTTATGCATTGATGACCTTCAGTTCTTGACTGAAAAAGTTGAACACATCCAAATTTGTCAGTTTTTAACTGATGGGATTTCTATTCATTTATGTAGACTCCATTG